TTGTGTAAAACTAGGAGAAAGGAAAAATCATGTTGGTTCTCGACTAACTGCCAACAAATACATAAGGAAAGAAAAGTGGGAAAACCAACAGACGCAGATAAGAGATTATCTAATCTTGCTGGTTTTAGCAGTGCAACAAGTTGTAATTTAGAAAAAGTCTGGAAATGTACAAGTGGTCAAATTGACACCAAGGGCATCAAGAATGGTGAGCTTTTACAGATGGGGTGCATGAAGAAAGAAAATAATCATCTTCCAGGACATTATCTTTTAATATTTTTCCGTTAAAGGATCGGTAGACATTAGCAGGTTATATAACAGATTTAGGGGTTACATAAAGTTAAAATAAATCTTGACTAAAACACATTTAAAGAATCTGAACTGACTTAGCATTGTGTTACCATTACTTAGACCAGGATGGCATTGCTTTAGCAGTAAGCTAACAGTTAATAGACATTCGACTGAGCTATGATTGGAGTATTAAATAAAGTGAACAGTGAGGGACAACAAATTAAAATCATAAAGGGGAAGAGAGAGAGAGAGACAAAGAGAGAGAGATAGAAAGAGAGAGAGAGAGAGAGGGAAGTGGGGGACTTAAAGAAGCTACAGGTCTAGAGTCATTATTTCCACTAGTGGCTTCAGGCAGATCAATAGGAAAATGTGTGTGTGCTTAAGAGGGACGGACATATGTCTAAACACACACATACACACACGCATGAACATTCGCAGACGGAGGCAGTCAGGCAGACACAATGCATGTAGGCAAACGGCCAATCGCACACACACACACACACACACACACACACACACACACAGAGGGCTGCTGCTGGCAAACCGTCCCTCCACAACTGAAGACTGGGGTCCGATAGCGCTAACAGTAGAGGACAGCCTCTGGATAGATTTCCAATACCCGACCAGAGGCTTAAGCAAGAAAGAGTCCAAGATAATCCCCCCAGCCCTTTTTCTCCTCCTCCTGTCTATCCCTTCTTTGTTTCTTCTTCTGCCTTCACCTTTCTGTCATCCATTCCCTCAATCCTTTTCTTTGCTAGTCTTCCATGTTGTTGTTGTTTTTTTTTCATCTTTCCTCTCCAGTTCAATTACGTCTTTTGCTGTAACTTTTTTTGTGGTTTCACGACGACTTCAGTTCCCCCCGCCGCCTCCTTCCCGTTTTTCTTTCATCCGCGTGTTTGCGGAGCTTCGGAGCTGGTGTTTTTACGTTACGAGCAGCTGTTGTTGAGTCACATCCTCAAGTTAACGCCTTCTCATGCCATGAGGCGCTGAAGTAAACTTTGCTAATACTGATTGGCCTTTAATCACTAATTACATCCTTCACTACAGCCACTATAACCTTGCTTTGACTTGCACGTGCCTAAAAACAGACATTAAAACTACTGTAAGCTGAAGGTTTGACACTAAAAAAAAAAAAAAAGTGACGCCGCAGTTTGAAAAGTGCACACACACACACAAAAAAAAACGGTAATATCTAGACATATCTGTCGTCTCCAACAGAATCGTCGAGGATATCCAGCCGGGGTATTTGAATGAGCTGAACTGGCAGGTGTCCAGCCCCCAGGTAGCCATCAGAAATCAATTACCATCCCTAAAGGAGGTTTCATCATGCCTGTGGCACAGTGCCCACAGAGAAAATTACTCACTGATTGCTCTTCTGCTGGGAAAAATAAAACGAGGAAATTCTCAGGCACATGCTAACATGCTATTCCACAGGTGAGTGTATTCATCCCGAAACCACATCATGTAGAGCCAGTGAGTCTTTCTTGAACGTTTTTTTTTCTCTGCTCATGCATGCTTCATGAACTCTTGACTCATAAAAGTCCTGCAGATATGAGACTGTTCAGATGTAGTGCAGTTGAGCATTCAGCGCAACTGAGTATTATTATCTGTTTGAAATGCAGAACAGATGTTAGCAACGAGCAGATGGATGATCTGCACCCAAGCTTCATCCTCTGTATCTTTCGCCTCGTCTGTGCCGTCTCTTTTTTTTTTATTTTATTTTTTTTTGTCCAGGAATAAAATGACTTCTAACTTCATCTTCAGATAAAATGGTCAAGGGGTCAGATATAGCATATCATCTCCAGGCTTGGAAGAACCCTATTACGAAACGCTAACGTTACAAAGTCGGAAAAAATATTCTTCCAAACATTTGAGATAACTTTGCTATGCAGGCATGAAGCCATCCTCCATCTTAATTAAAACTCACTGAGAGTCTTTGACATGATATCCATCTGCCTTTCCTTCCCCCTGACCAAAAAAAAAAAGTAACTCGAGACCAATAAATTTAAAATACTGGAAGTAAACGTGGCTCATCTATTTCACACAAGTAAGTTTGCAATGTGGAAACTAATTCAGCAAGTGAAGAAAAGCTTAATTTAAAAAGTAGCAGTTGTAGAGCTGTGTGATAGATTGTTGCTGTCATGTTGCTGTCAGTGGACCAATGAAGACTGAACTGTCCGTGGTGCTGAAACCACCAACCTGACCCGCAGCTTCAGAGCAACTTGTTTAAAAAACTAAAAAATCTTAATCTGGCCAGCTCTATATTATGGTCAAATTTTAATATGATTATGATTCTGGAAGTGATTGGGATTGGTTTAAAGTTTGTAGTTATTTGAAGAAGAAGCCATTAATGCATCCCCTCCCTTCATTTGTATTGATCTTAGAATACATTTTGGCAGTGATTTTTAAAACATTATCTAAAGTATGTCTTCAGCAACAAACATCACATGAAGACAAAAGGCTGAAATAAAGTGAAAGTACTGATAATCTTATGTTGGGCTATGGAAACCACTTGTTCACCAAGTCAGCCTGCCCGTCTGTCTGCACCACCAATCTGGTTCTAAGTTATAGTATAGAGTGACTTGCAAAGTTATTCAACACCGTCAATTGTTTATATTTTTGCTGCATTACAATCTGAAGCATGATGGGGGTGACATACTGCTGCCTTTCTTCAACAGGGATGGAGAAGCTGACCAGAGTTGAAGGGACACTGCATGGGGCTGAATACGAAACAAATCCTGGAAGAAAACCCGGTCGATGCTGCAACTGTCAACTTCCAGGAAGAGAAAAAAAAAATCTGAGACTTCGGGCTTCAAACTCTAGTCCTAGAGGACCAAAATCCTGAGACTTTTAGATCTATCCCAGGTCCAACATGCCTGATTTACCTCCTTACCACGCAGTCGAGTTCTACAGAGTCAATAACCCATTTGTTTTATTCAGGTGTGTCAAAGAGAGACATTTCTACTTTGCAGGACACTGGATCTTGAAGACCGGAGTTTGACTTCTGTGATTTAGACCAAAGTTCAGACTTATTGAGAATCTGTGACAAAACTTTCAAATTGCTGTTCTATCTGCAGCTACTCTAACTAAGCTTGTGCTGTCTTTTTTGATCGTCAAACGGGTGAAAATGTGCGTCTCTAGACATCCAAAGATGGTGGAGCCAGTAATGGTGATTTTATAAATTGCGAGTGCTGAATATAAATGCACACCACACTTTTAAGTCTTTCCTCCTGTACAGATCAGCTCTTTTTATATAGAAATTCAAATAAACACAAGCGGACTAATTATTAAACTGTCGCCCCACAATCACGCACTACTTTCTTTTTTTTTCTTTCTTTTTTTTTTTTTTAAGTTCAAGGGTGTGAATACTTCTGCGGACCACTGGCACAAGTCGAAGCGAAATAAGTCAGGCTGATCACAGAGAGCTGCCTCTCTGTTTAAGATGCGCATGAACATGACAGCTGTTCTTGCTTCCTGCAGGTAACATCCAACAGCATGTGATGAGTTGCCTCTCGGTGCAAATTGTGCCACGCTGCGACACGCACGCACGCACGAACGCTCACGCACAGCCCGCACAGACATAAACATGGACAAGCAACGCCACCCCTCTTCTCCTTTCCTCCTTATCCCCTGTTGCTATGGAACCTGTCGCCAAGGCGGAGAGGTATGTGGTTGTGATGGAGGCGGCAGATGAGGAGGATGAAGAAGAAGGGGGCACGGAGTGCCTTCGTTATACATCAACGAAGGCGGGTTCGATGGTGGTCATGAGGGGGATAGCCGTGATGGAGCAAACAACATCTGCCCCTAAATGAAGGTATCATCGGGCTTCGCTGTCTTTCCCTCTCTGCAACGTGGGTGGAAGAAGCGTCGCGTAATACTGCGCCACGCACACAGACCCCAAAACAGATCGCAACACTGGATTTTCGTTGACTTTTTGATTGTGATGCAATTTTAACACGTAGAGGTAGTAAAATCCGAGAACTTTATTCGTATTTTGCACAGTTCTTGCCTTATTCCCCTCAAAATAGCTCATCATCAACACAATCTCGGCAGACAAATAACTCCTGCAGGCCCTCCTCTACTGCCACCTGTCATCTGTGATATTAAAGGCAAAAAAAAAAACTTATTGTGAAACATTATTATCCTCTTGGTTAAGTTCCTACGTAATAAAATAAAAAAAAAACATTCTTGGAAGCCGGGATCTGTCAACATACTTCACGCACACACGCTTTTCCTGTCATTTTCCGCACTGAGAATGTGTCCAAACCAATAATGGTCCCGCCTACAACAGCCTGTTGGCTAAATATGACCACTGCCCACCCGTTATGCCACAGTTCTCCGATGAAGAGGCCTGTCAAACCCACAAGTGCAGGAGCGAACCAAGAAATTGGAAAGGGGAAAAAAGAAAGAAGGAAAGATGGCCTCATCCATATCCAACCTGCAGCTTTCTTGCGCCATTACGCGAGCACAAGTTGAGTGGTTGGAGTAGGAAAGGTGGAATAAACAAACTGCACATAGAGGGGAAAGTGAGAGGTGCATCTGTTGAAATGAGATTTTTTTTCTCTCTCTCCTTCCTCCCCCCTGCATCTGCTCCCTCCACTAGCACCCCCACCCCATCCCATCTCCACTTGGAGACCATCATACTCCCCTCCCTCCTTCCTTCATGCATACACTTGAATATTTGTTAGTTAAAAATAAAAGCCACCACATACCTTGATGGTTCTCAAAGGTGTCCTCCGGGATGTACATGTTTTTGCTTTCATTTACCATAAATGTAGTCCGGCGTTATCCTTATAAGTGAATGGAAAGGGAGGGGAAAATAACAAGCCCCCCCCAAAAAATAAAGAAATCAAAGAAGAAAAAGGGGGTGAGGAAGGGGGTGGGGAGGGGGGAAGAAGAGCCAACTGTCTGAAACGGACAGTTTCTGAGGGGGTATTCCCGTTGTTTGTGTTTATGGGAGTCTCTTTGGATGGAGTGAATATTACCTAATTCCCATGATGGAGGTGAAGGCGAGAAAAAAGAGGGAGCTTTCGGCGGAACCGGTTGGAAAAACGCACCGGTGCATCCCTCGGTACATCCGGGCCCTCTAAGCGAGAAACACGAAACCAGCACCGCCGAGTTGGATTCGATTCACACCTTCCCTTTCGCTCAGGTATCCAACACTATCGTCCTCCCTCCTCTTGTCTTCTTGGAACAACGGGTATGAAAAAAATGAAAACCCTAAACAAAAATCACCGGCGCTTTTCAGTCGCGGTCGCAATGCAAGTGCGCAAAAGACGCATTCGTGCGCATCTTCAGCAGCGTGTCAAAATGTGAGAGGATGGAGGAGAAGAGGAGGTGGAGGTGATGGAGGAGAAGAAGGAAGAGGAGGAGGAGAAGAGGAGTAAAATTAGGGAATGAGAAGAGTGTGGGTATTCCATCACGGGTATCACGGGGTTAAATCTCCCAAAGGGTTGTCGGTTATTCCACGCAGAAATACAGCAGAGTCCCCCCCTTTTAACAGAAGCCACGGCGTCCTGTCTCATCCGGATACTGGTTTCTCTGCGCTCATCCAGTCCATGATGGTCCGGCTGTGTGTCTGCCTGCCTGCTTGCCTTGCCTTGTCGGTCTGTCTTACTGGTCGGGAGTTGGAGCTCTCTCTTCTCTCTGGCTCTGCTGCCCCTGCAGCTCAGCTCTGCAGTGATACCGACAGAGAGAGAGAGAGGTAGCCCCCCTCCCAGTGCATGTAGACGCTTTGACTGTTTCCAGATGTGTGTGTGTGTGTGTGTGTGTGTGTGTGTGTGTGTGTGTGTGTGTGTGTGTGTGCGCGCGCGCGCGCCTGGCTGAGTGTGTGCCAAAAGAGAGAGAGAGAAGGGAAGGAAGCTGTATATGCTGGTTCCAGATGATGATGATGATGATATGAAGAAAAAAACGGATTAGTACAGAGTTTCCCCAACAAAAAATAAAAAGGGAAAGTGCTAAAACCTGATAGTATCAAGAAACGCAGCAAGAAAGAGTGTGCAAAGAAGGAACTGAAGGGGGGATAATGATCCATACGGAGCTCAAGCTTACCAACAGACTCCAATTTGCCCAGGAACAAACCGAGACTAGAGACCTGCACATCTCATTGGTCTGTGGTCCCTTCACATCTGGAGCCTTTCAGCTCCATTCTTTTCTTTGGCCAAGGTTGTGTTTACACATGCACTAAATATCTGGTTTTTCGACTCTTTCATGACTAAACCTCTGATCTGTTTGCTGCTCGCATTGTTGATTTTTTTTCTCTCTCTCTCTCTCTGTCTCTTATTTTTCTGTTTTGAAGCAGTACAAATGTGGTCTTAAGTTTACAACGCTGTGCAAAGGTGTGCCTTTTTAATCTTTTCACGTTTGGTCACAACAAACTCCAAATAAAGCACTGCAGTGTGTTTTATTTGGATTTTATGTGACAGAACTACACTAAGGACAGAGGAATGAAAAAAATGCATGCTTTTAGACACCTGTGCATCTGTATGTATTGCACAATTGCTCATCTACCAATCAAACTGTCAGGTGAGGCAAAGAGAGCACTAATCAGAGAAGCAGTCAAGAGGCCCATGGTAACTCTAGAGGAGCTACCATGAGATCAGAACTCAGGTGGGAGAAGCTGTTAGTTGTGCACTCTAAAAAAACAAAAAACAAAAAAAAAACATGACCTTTATGGAAGAGAGGATAAGATGAAAGAATTTTTGTTAAATCCTGTTTGCAGTTTGCAACAAACAACCCTAAACACCCAGGCAGGGTGGTGGCAGCATCATGCTGTGGGAATGATTTGCTTTTCAGCAGGGACCCAGAATGTTGTCATTGTCCAATAAAATTCCACACTTAAATCCAGTGAAGAATCTCTCCCTAGACACCAAAAAAAAAAAAAAAAAAAAAAAAAAAAAAAAAAAAATCGGTGAACATGCTCTCCCTCAAACCTAACCCAGCCACACTTTACAGATTTTTATGTGTAAAAAATTTAGAAAATCATAAATCACTCCCTCCTCCCCCCCATTTCATATTTATACTTTCTGTCCTATTACCACATAAAATTGCAAAGCACATTAAAGTATGGGGTTGTAAAGTTTAGATTCAGGGCATATGGACGTTTCTTTAACGCAGTGCATCCAGACTGGCACGCAGACTCAACGTGAATTCTCTTATCCTGCCAAATGACAACAGAGAGATTACTGGGATTTGATTGTGGCTTTTTCCCCCCCCCCTCTTTCCGATCAGATGCCGTTTCGTACAACAAAACAACGAAACGGGGCTCATCTGGGAGTGAAACGTCAAACGGAGTCAACAGTATCACCTCTTAGCGAAGTAGCGCTCGGCAAGGCTCGGCTCTGTCGCTCACAGCGGCTTTTTTTCCTCCTTCTTCTTCTTCTTCCGGATGAAGCTGCTCGCACAAATAACGTGTCGGCTTCTCAGACTAAGCTGCTATCTGAAGGCCTTCACGAGATTAACACTTTTTACTGAAAGGGAGATAAATCTCTACGTGGTTACCGAGCTCGTTGTGTCACACCGGAGGGACGAAATGCATCTACTTGAGCGCATACAAAATAACTGAAGTGAACTGGGTTCCCGGATTCTAATCGTTCCATAATTGTCTCTGACAATGAATGCAAAGATCACAGTGTGCAGGCCTCATGTCAGTCCGCTGCAGGCTATAATCAGGAGGTGAATCGGATGACTCAGCCCGGCCCTGTATTCATTTGTTCAGTGCCATAGTGCAAAGTCGCCACCCACTATTCTGTATTACTGTAAAGCTTTTGTCTGCATGTGTCAGTCTAGACACGGCAGCGGCGGGGAGTCGACTCGGAAACGATTCTATTGACGACATCTGACAATCCGTTTGTCTTCTCAGAACAATCTGTAGTGATTTCCGTCCTGGATGGTATATAAATATTCTGTGTGAGGGAAGTGATTTTGTGCTGGCACTGATGAACGAGTGGAAACACTCCCCGAAATGTAAATTACCGCCTGCTTAAGCTCTAGACGGAGGGGGTGAGGGGGGAAGCTAAAGAGTTTATGAAAAAGATAAAAGGCATTCAGCTTTAGAGACTTTTAATATTAAAATTCTGCTTATGCGGTAATGCATCAGGACTGAGAGTCCAATCACACAGCGAGACAGCAGATAAATGAACCAGTTTCTTAAGAGAAGCCCTTACACATGATGGCTTTCCTAACAAATGGTGTAAAATAATAATAATTTTAAAAAAAAGTCAATGCAACTACACAAAAAAACAGTTATATTAAAAGGGCAAAATTAAAAACCCAGAAATTTGCCAAACGCGACATTCAAAATTTTTAAAAGTAATTTCCAATTTCAAGATTTTAATTGGCTAGAAAGTTGGTGCTGAAGCTCTAAATAGATCCTGACGTAGCTTTTTAGACATGGCATTCAATATTTGTTTTCAATGTTGCCTAAATTTAATCTAGCCAAATTGTGCTATGAAATTTGAAAAAATTTGGTTTGATGATGCTCGCTTCTTTTCTCATTTAGCAGTTGTTTTATCTGTAACTCTCTGTCCAAATTGCTTAGAAGAACTCCATTTAATTTTAGGGGGGGGTAATGATACAACGACATAAACTGTTTTACCCGAGTAATTCCAAAGGCATCGGGGCATGAATAGAATTGGATTAGTGAAACTGGGCGTTGTGGAACCAGTATAATCGGTTTTATAAATGCACCCAGTGTTTCCAATTTGGTCTCTCGAAAAAGTCATCCAATGAAGTCCATTAAAAGAGTCACAAGATCAATCTGTGACTCTAATCTGCAGTGACTGATTTGACAGTCAGTCGGCCTCAAGCACTTGTTTTTTTGTTTTGTTTTTTTCCTGAAAGCTCGTGAAAGTTAAAAAGGTTAAAAGTTGGTCTGAGTATACTGGAGGAAAAACTGTGCCTGAACCCTGTTTACCATGCAAGCACCTTCTCATTGCTGCAGATGGACGTCTCACTGCTGTGGAGAGGAGGTAACACGAGACAGACGGCAGAAGACTTTAGCCGGTCTGTCAGTCTGTGAATGGAAGATCGGCAGACAGGAAAAACTGGGAGAAGGAAGACTGGATGGAGGGCAGGTCATGGGAACAGATACTTCTGCCCAGGGGACACGCAAGCATGCAGACACACACACACACACACACACACACACACACACACACACAACCAGACACACTAATGTCCTCTGTAATCCAGCCTGTACATGGAATATCTGTTCTATTTGGGAATCTTCTATATTTGCAGTTCCAGACCTTTTAGTATGTGCGAGTGAGTTTGTCTCTGGGAATTGCAGACGGACGTGGCAGTGCTGAGATCTCTTGTAGGGGGTTGAGGGGGGGGGGGGGGGG